TTTTTACGGTTATCTCGGCATTACGGATGACTCGGTATAGCGGATAAATTTCCTGGAACAAACATATCCGTTATACCGAGACTCACTGTGTATTTTCGATGTTTATATTTTCAATATTAATATTTTTTATTTTAATAAATTAAAAAATCACGTGAAATTCGATAAGTCGGTCGCAGGGGTCCGCCCTGACATGACCGACTTATCGAGTTTACATATGTACCTCTATATTAATATGTCTTGCTCTAGGTCCTGGGTAAGCACTTCTATTAAAATGATATTAGCTAATATATATAAGTCAGGTTTGACAGAAGAAAGGGAGGCTACAGGCAGGAGCTATGAAAGTGTAAGGAAATTCTCCCTGAAGAAGGAAATAAGATTAAAGTAGCCAAAGAAGGTTAAATGATTGTGTTTAATATTTAATAACATGATGTTTATTTTTCTATAAATGGGTAAATAATTAAATTTATAAATTACAATAAATTAATTGTCATATATAAACTCCATTACAATTTTCCTTTTCTTTTTTGGTTTTTTATTACTATTATCACTTGTTTTTTTCTTGGTGCCTGAAGATTTTGGGGTAGGTTTGGGTTTGATATCAAATTCAACATTAGCTATCCCATTAGATCTGTTTGTAATTTCACTTTCTAGCTCAGCATCTGCGAATTCATCTTTTTGTGTTCCATCTTCAGATATAAGATTTTTAAACTAACAATTCAACATGAAAATTATTTAAATAAAAACCATTAAAATAAAAATATGTGTATATTACATTAAACAAATAAAATACCAGTTCACATTGTTCCAGTATATTATCATCAGTGGTGAAGGGTTTTTCCACAAAAGGCAACCCTTCCCAAGATATGACTAAGGGAGAATTTTGGTGTCGTAATGCTGGTTTGTCTTTATGCGAATTACTTTGTGTTGGATTGAAACTTTGACATTTCCTTATATTTAAGAAAAAAGAAGTCAATATATTTTATATTTAATTCAAATACAGTTTATCAATCTTACATTTCACTTAGTGCATAGGACTTTTTTAAGTGGTCTTTTAAATGCATTAGTATTGCCATACAGATTGAAACTTTAGCCGCATATGGTAATGAAAGAATATTATCTGAATAAAATTTTAATAAAATATAATTTTATATATAATTTTATATTTAAAACAAAAAATAATACCCATATCCAAACTAAGTAATTTATACCTTTATCCCTAGTTGGTATACCTTGTTCTTGGATTTCTGTTTTTGGTTCTTCTTGAAGAGAATTTGACATTTTTATATCATCATCTTTACTCTTTGTGTTGTATTCAATTGAATGGAGAATAGTTATTCCAACAACAGATAAAACTCGATTTATACAATATATAATATGCAAAACCTCCTCAATAGTCTTGTAATCTATAGTAGCTAAATTCTCTGCAACAAATTTGCAAAAACTTACATCTACCTAAAAATAATAGAATAAAATTTTTTTAATTTCATATAATTTAGTGAGATCTTTATTGATTAATATAGTTATTATACCTTTGATTCATCTGAGTTTTTCAAGTCAAAATCAAAAGTTTTGACAATTGATATTAGAAAATCATTACGACGTTGCCTTTTTTCTTTCAAAAGAGAATACATTGGATTGATTAAAGCTTCAGGATGTCCTTCATTTGAACGAAAAGCATAACCTTTATTCATGTGTGTGTATATATGTAAAATTTTCAGTATAAAATTAGGACCAGTGAATAAATTTGAACATCATTCACTCGTAGGATTCTCACCAACAAACGATTTATTCCCATTTAATTGCTTTTGAAAAATGTATGCTTTTTTTACACATTCTACACTTCGTGAATGAATCAAAGATGCATGCTTTTCATTTAAATGTTGGTGTAATTTGAATGCCTTGTCACGTATGTTTGATTCTGGACTTGTTTCCATTGCAACTATGGTTGGCATACACTATTTATTTATTCAAATTAATTAGAATATACCGGATAAAAAACAGAGCAACAAATAACAATTACTTACCGGAACAGGATGTACCAATCCCTGTTGAATGATGCTGCCCAGTACATCCAAGGCAACAAGCTTTAGACTCTGAGTTGGATCAAAGGTGCACTCTAAAATCCGATGAAGATATCGTTGCATGATAGAACTGCTTACTCTACATAATTATTATAGGTCCAATTAATATTTGGACATTTAGAATATAATCACTATTCACATTTATAATAAACTAATACATACCCTGCTTCTGCAAATTCTTCTGCATTCCCTATTAAAACCTTCAAATCTACTGGTGTGCCCTTTACTTTTTCTTATAAATATATACAATCACAAACATAAATACATATGTATAAATATCATCAATAATAAAAAATTAAAATATTACTTTTGTCTTCTAAATCTGCATTTATTTTTTGCTGCTCTGATAATAAGTAATCTAAAAACATTTTCATTAATTGAATTTTCATATCCATTACACCTGTGTTTAGTATACGATCCATCAAATCAGTACTTTCTCGTCTAAGCATTATGGTTGGGTGTGAAAGATATATGAACCCTGTTAAATAAAAGTAATATTTTAATACTGTAATATTTAATATTGTAAGTCATAAATGTATGTTTAGTTTATACTACCTAGGCTTTGTAAAGACATTTTCTGTACAGTATCAGATAGATTCTCATTACAGAAATATAAAACCAATTGGAATATCACTGTTACTATAGGCCCCTATTACAAAATTAAATAAATCATTATTTATTCTACCCACAAAGTAATCATAATCAAAATTAATGAAAATTACAATTATAAACCTTGTCAATGGCATTCAAATCCTTCATTTCATCTATAAACATATTTGTAAACCAAAAGTCCAAATATTAATACACACAATTATTAGATTGTATATTTATTTCAAATACAAACCTGGTTTTTCCAACCGTTTTTTGTCAAAATCAAAATTTTTACATAAAAGACCCACAATCAAAAGCAGTACCATTACATTTCGAGCTGAAGATATAGATGAACCTGCTGTTAATTTTGTTTTTTCCAATTTAAGTTTCTCTATTATAATACACGATTATTATTACATAAATATGATTTGTAATGTGATTCAAATAAGTAGCAGTGGTATTTAAAATAGTTTTTATAATTTAATCATTACCAGAGCAAGATTTCAAAAGTTTTGTTAACCGTGTATAATTGTGTGTTAATTTGTCAACAATAACACATAAACATGGTACAACCTCTTGAAGAATCTATAAATTACAATTTGAAATTTAATCAACTAAATTAATATTTTTTATAATCTTATATATATACATAAACAATACATTACTAGCCTTTTGTGGACTTTTTGTCAATAAACTCATGAGAGCTTGCTCAACCTCGGCTAAAAAACTTGGATTGGGACGTTTAAGAAGTGGCAAGACACTCCGATATATAATTAACACATAGTATAGAATTGATTGATCTTCAGGCTATTAATAATATAATATATTATTATTATTTGAAGACCAAGTGATTAATTATTATAATAACTTTAATATATATTCTTACCGTGCTAGCACTCTTTAGGTAGGGTTGTAAAGTAACAACATGCTTTCTTGCAAGTGTAGGAGAAGCACTACTCAATAGACATATAGTACTAATGCAGCTGACAACCTCAGTCTATCGATAAATTAATAATTTCGTAATTAGAATGATATATACTGTTTAATCCAAAGTATCTAAGCTATTTAACTACCTTTAAATTTGTATCCTGTAATGTTAATAAATGCTCAAAAAGACAATCAACTATACATTGACATATATTTAAAATTTCTCGTTTTTGCTTTCCCTCCTTTTCTAAAATCTTTAATTTTTTTAAAAAATAAATAATATATATTCCAAATAAATATATTGTTTAGTTTAAAAATTGAATCACAGGTTAATTTAATTTTTAATATACACCTTTTTGAATAAATTCCCCATTATATGTCCATGCCTTTCTCCCAATCGTCCAGCTACACCAACAACCAGGAGACTTCTGCTTAATACCTCCTTTTTACCTATCTCTGACATATTGAAAAATTCATCCTGTCCATCATCATCATCATCATTATGATCCTCGATGTCAATGTTTATGTTTCTTTGATTTTTAAATGGCATAAACCATAATTCTTGGATTGTTTTTAAAGCTAGATCCTAAAAGTGCAAATTTACATTAATAAAAACATTTTTTCTTTGTTAAACAGATATATTAATAGTATACTACCTTTACATGATCATCATCATCATTGATACGCATGAGAATTTTACAACCAATATCAATTATCATTTGCTGGTCTGTACTTTTGAGATAAATATCTCTAAGTAATTTTATAACACGTTTACGTACATTAAGACCCGTGTCCTATATAATTAATAATGATGATTAAAATATATAAGCTTTGGAGCAAAAATAAATTAATTTCATAGTGCCATAATAACTGTGCTTACTAAAACACGATCACTTATGACTTTGTAATATTGTTCTGTAATTTCAGGTTTTTGTGAGATATAACGACCAACAAGATCTATCGCAGCATCACGAACTGCAGGGCTGTTGTCAGAGAGTCTTTGTGCAATAGTTTGACGAACATTAACCTAAAAGTTAAAATCAATAAAATTAACAATAAATCTAATTAAAAGTAATATAATATCAATAATATCAAGATATTACTTGGCTCAAAATATTGGGATCACAAATAACAACTTGGCTTAAAGCCCTTAGTGCTTTAGTTCTGAATGCTACAACACCAGTATCTAATGATACCAATATCCTTGAAAGAATTGAATCAAAGTATTGATATAAAGATTGCCTGGTTGCGAGTAATTCAGTTAAAAGGAGAACGTTATTTCTTTCTAATGCCTGGGATCTTATTTATAATAAATGGTCATTAATAAATTACTTTTTTTTAAAAAAAAGAAAGATAAAATTCCGTATCAAAAATCAACCTGTGCTTTAAATTTTGATCATCATAAACATCCGATGACATCTGCCAATATTCTGTGACTATTTTATCAATTAATTTTTGCATCTCAAAAACTGAGGATTTATTACCATCATTGTCTTCATGATATTCACTTTGAAAATTTGTTGCGTGTTGTTCCTGTAATGTTAGTAATGTATTCGCAAAGGAAAAACCCCATTCTGTTAAATAAAACTGTCGAGCGCACTAAAGATTTTATTATATTATTATTCATCGATGTAAATAATAATAAATCTGTATAAATCTATTTTTACAATTCATTAATACCTGTATTCCAGAATCCTCCATCGCCAGAAGCTCTAAAAATGTTAAAATAGCCTTTTGACATTCCCAAAGATTTTTTACTGTTTGAATTTGTGTATATTTTGTGATCTAGAGAGTAATTTTAAATCTTAATAGAAAATAAAATAAAAACTACTAATAAAAATGTTTATTATTGTGATATAAACCTCTCCCTTGGGAATATCTTTAACTTTGTCGATCCAAAAACGAAAATCATCATCATTCCAATTTCTTTCTGACAAACTTTCACTAGAAAATAAGCCCGTGTTTGCAAACTTTTTAATACGTCCTGCTATAATGCCTAAATGATCAAGAGCCATTGACTTTGTAACTGTATCTGCCTTGTTATCATTAATGTAGCCAACCTATGGAAATAATAGCAAATTAGTATTATTTATTTATAATAAATTTATAGACTAGTGTTTTCTTTATTTAATAAATACCAATATTTTACTGAAAATGCTAACTATCATTTCAGCAGCTGGCCATTCTGGATAATTCAAGACCGCAATTACATCTTCCATAAAATTATCCAAAAGTAACCTATATTCGGATTCATTTGAGTTTTTCAAGGATTTTGTACATCTTTCAATTTAAAGCAATAAATTTAATATTTATAGTAAATTGTTAAACAAGCAAATAAACAATATTAAAATAATTACCTTGCCAATAAGAATTTAAAAACGAATCCAGCATTAGTACTTGCTGCATCAATTCCTGTTTTCCATCTATTACAACACTGGATATCAAGTAATTGAATCAAAATCAAATCAAATCATGTTAAAATAAAAAAGAGTAGTCTTTTATTCTAAAACTAATATAAAAATACAAACCTTTTTTAAACATCCAGGATCATTATTCATCTCAATGTCATATAGCTCTTCATCTTGTTCACGATCAATAGATGGTTTCGAACCAAGTTTCCTCATACTTGTAGTACAACTTTGAATTAATTGTAAAATAAGTGCAGAAACCATTTGAATGGACTTACCATCAGGCAATCTATGTTTGAATTCATACAACGATAATTTAAGATTACATAACTTGCTCAAAAATTTAAATAACATTCTTTACTAATAGCTCTTATCTCACTCTAAATACACTAGCCTCACCTGTATTGTCTCAGATTACGTTTGGCTGTTGGTAACTTAATTAATGAAGTGAGAATTTCTTCTAATATCCATGTACGTTGCTTTGGATGGTTTGTAAATATCTTGTTTTCAATAAAGAGCCAATCAATATGTATATTATTTATGTGAAGGAGTAATTCAAAATATAAATAAATATGTCTGTCTGTCTCACCAAACGTAATAATCCAAGCGCAACCAATTTAACAGTTTCAAGCCCATTCCCAAAGATAGAATTACCACCACTATTATAGGTATCAACAAAAAATGGTCCAATCGCAACAAAGCTAACTGTAATTACAATTGTATCTGAAAGCTCTTCTTGTTGCATCAGGTTGTATAATCTTTGTAAAAAATTAGTTATTATAGGAACCATAGACACTATATGACGTTTAAGCCTTGAAGTAAAGAAACAAATTGGAAGAATTAAGAATATAATTAATAATAATAAAATTTAAACTCTAACATAAAGTTAAATAATTTAAGGATATTTTTCAATAAGTTCAATTAAAAACGAGTCAGTTTCACCTAATTAAAAAAAAGGAAATATCAAAAAATCATATCATTCATAGATAATGATTTAAACAACATTAATTGAGCGATACATACTACTCAATTCATCACTTGACACATTAATTTCTAAGATTCTATAAATTAAACCGCCAAGTTGGTTTTTTATTAAATTTAGAGTAGAGGTAATTAAATCCTCAGGATAAAGCTATGAAAAGATTTTAATAAGTATTTTAATAAAGAAAAAATAAAAGTAATAAGCGGATATCAGCGAGAAATCAATTAATTACCTGTTTATTTAATTTTCCGCCAGTCATAATAGAAAAAATGGCAACAGAAGCTTCTAGACCATTGATAACTTTATCAAGTTTCTCCTCGATTTGTTTCAATTTAACATCATCATCTAAGTTTTCATATTCATTATCTAAATAATATTCATTTAAATCAATCGATTCCGAATTCTTATTATTATTGGATCGAACTTTTGAGAAAAATGTCATTGAACGAGCTTTCAAAGATGATGAATTTGGCAAGACATCTAGTACTTCAACCTCATGAACAGAACGTTCAAGGATTTTAGAAACTCTTGCCAGATCTTCAACTTCTATATCATCTAAACGTTTATAACGACTGACTTTATTAATGAGCTTTGTAAGTTGTCTAATAGCAGTTGTTGTAAGCAAAGGTTCATTTGACCCTGTGCTAGATGGAACTAGTAATATTAATGAGCCTGATAAATTAACACTTAAAGATGGATCTAATGCAAATGAGTCCTCTGCCTCAAATATTGTACTCATGTTATTGATCAGATTTTTCACCGAGTCTGAAATATTATTACAATTATTTTTAATAATAATAACTATTAAATGTATAATTGATTATATAGATATCCTTTTTAACCACTTACTATCACCCTTTCTATCTTCATTTAGACTCATTTTAACCAAATTTGATGGTGGTTCCACCACCACTATTGGATATAAATTTGATGGTATAGTATTCATTTTGTGTACAATTGCACCAGAAGTTAAATCTTCATCAACTTTTGGTAAATTTGGTCGGGCTTCTACTACCACCTTCGGATATGATGATGATTGCGATAAAGTATCTGATTTTTGTTCAAATACCATTGTTTTTACTCCTTTGTCTATTTTATGAAAAATTGCTTCCACCGCATGTTGATCTATCTCTGAGTAATGTGATGATGACACTGATGGATTTTTAAAACGACTAATTTTCAAATATGATAAAAATAATCAATTTAAAACTTTCTTATACGATAATATTAGCTAATAGACAATAAACAAGTAATGTTTTATAAAAATTTTATTTAAAAAGATCAAATTGATCTACAAATCTATGAGTTTAAAAACTTACACATAACTAACATCCACTTGATTCATTAAGTTGTGTACAGCTTGTATTTGTTGCTGTATATTTATATTAGGATATTGTGAAGGTTTACTTTCCAATAAACTAGCAATTCCAACAAACTCGGGATCCGTTGCATTAAAAGTTTGGAAATCACCAAACGATACAGATAATGGAGGTAAATTTTTTAAGACTTTCAAGTAATTTTAAAATGAAAAAAAGATATGAATTATAAATCATAAAGAAGATTCAATAGGAAGATTCTTTCAATGTATATAGTACATTTTTGAGAGTTATGCCTCAATAAAGTCATTGAGAACGAGCCAAAATAATAAAATCAAGAAAAAAACCTTCTGAAGCTGGAGTGATCGATGTCAGTGCGGTATATTGTAATGCAGTTCGAACATCAGTTGGAGCAGGTATATAATAATTAGCATCAAGGGAATCGTCAGCACCTTTACAATGTTCATCGGTAGAATCTTGAGGAAAATTCATATTATATGTATGTGGTTATTTTTTGTTTTAATTCTGAATACTCAATTTTGATGCTGCGTTATGTTTGTTATACATATTAACCCCAATGTGATATGAATTCAATTATATGGGGGTAAGGGTCCCTCTGGCCATATTGTTTTTTTTTACATAATAAATCCGATGGCATGGTGGACATTCGAAATGTTACATTAATTTTTTAATGCGTGTAACGTAATTCTTAAAGTAAAAAACTTTATTGTTCAATTAAAGTGGGACATGTCAATATGTAACACATTCTATAACTTTACATATACACAGTGAGTCTCGGTATAGCGGACTTCGGTATAACGGATTTGGGGGTTTAGCGGATAAATTTCCAAAACCAAATTTTTCTATAACAATTTTATCTCGGTTTAACGGATTTAATATAAATTCTTTAAAAATTCATATACAGTCAAACCTCGTTATAACGAACATCTTGGTTTGCCCAGGACCCCGAACAATCTTAGTAGATGGTACATTTCAATTTTGGGTAGAATCACCCTTTTTTTTTGATGATGGTATATTTGAAAAGCAGGTATTGGCCTCAAATGGTACATTTGAAACTGGGTATTGACCTCATATGGTACATTTGAAAATAGGGTATTTTAAGAAATTTTTGTAAGGGTGTATTTGAATTTTGGGTAAATTTTTAAGCAGTGTGACAATTTTTTCCTTTTTTATAAATAAATAAAAAATATAAAAATGGTAAAATATACCAAACAGTGTCTTTTAAACAATGAATATGTTTGAAAAGTTTCTGAAGATGGTGCTAATGTTACATGTATTTGTGGTAATAAAATAAAATTAAAGCGCCCTTATGATGAAGATTATATAAATCAGCATGTAGAAAGTGGTGGGTGTAAAAGAAAGAAAAACACCCAAGAAATTACTAAATTTTTTCAAATTAATACACAAAATCAGTCATCAGTATAATTTTTTT